ATCCCGTTATTTTGCACAGTGCGTCCGTTTCTCGATTCTTTGCGATACCAGAAAGAAAACAGAGACAAGCAGAATTCTTATCTGAATTGAAATTTCAACTAAAAAAACTAAGATTCACAACTTGGTTCCAAGTTTAAAAAATATATTTACAATCTTATTCAACGAGTCTTGAAAGTGTAAATTTGAGTATCTATAATCATGGGAATTAGAATCGTGTCGGTATTTTTTCAATAAAACTTTTCTGAAGACGGATATTGGATATGTTAAGTAGAGAAAGCTTCGATGGAATCTTTTGCTTTGTATTTATAAAATATTTTTGACAGCGAACTATTATAATACCTTCTTCCTGGTCACGTTTTATTGCGCAGTTATACGCTTTACAATCTCTTATTTTTGACCCTTTAACCCATTGAGCGCTGAGCTGTACGATATTAAGCGTGTGCTGTGGGCTAACTCGGAAATTTCGTTGCAAAATATGTTGCTAACTGAAATAATTTCAGTTGGTCACGGAAATAATTTGAGCAGTGACTGCAAAAAGCAGTGAATGGTTATATTAATACCCATATATGCGTTCATAGCCCATGGTAAACGATTTTACCGAATACGTATTTTAATGAATACGTATTTTAATGAATACGTATGTATTCATAGCGCTCAAAAGATTAAACAGTACGAACATATATTTACCTCAGAGATTAACCTAGCCTTAATATATTTACGTAATGCTATTTGGTCAGTCGTAATCTGATTTTAAAAAGCGTTCAAATACACCAGGTAATCAACTAACACTACGCAAAACACAGCTCAAAAGTACTGAGAGCTACGTAGATATATCCATGTCTTATTTTGTTATAAATTTCAGGTAAAAATATTTAATGTTATTTTGTTACTGACATCAAGATGAAAATATTAAATAAATTTAGTATTACTTTAAAATTTTGTTCAATTTCGATTGAACAGTTTCTTCTCTAACGTTTACAACGCTAACACGGAGACTGGAAAATCCCTAACAGCGAAAAAAGGGGATAAAATGAATTAGATCGTGAAATATCACGTACGGGTTATAGTTACAGATAGTCTGAGACGATAAACTACCCTGGTTCGATCGCGAACGATTCGTGAGAGAGGTTCTCCTCTCCCCGGCGAACCGGAACAAATTGCGAGTAACGATACCGCGGTGATTTCGTGTATCTCGAAATTACGCGGCACTAATTACGAGCGTTTACTGGCAAACGAGCCATTACCACGTAACGAGGTAAGCCTGGAAATTACAATTTTACATCGATTACGAGGCGATCGAGGCGGCGACTTCGATAATCAAGTGAAAGACGCGCAGACGGAACGAGCCTGGTCAAAAGTTAAACCGCCGTTTCGACGCTCTTCGCGTCTTCTAATCCCGCGTGCAGCGTCGATTACTCGCGAATCTATTGACTGCCGCCGCGTATTAATTAGTGATAGTAATGTCACGGACATTTAACATGCTTGTCGGCCGTGGGTCGCGGGAAGAGCAACGAAGTGGATCGCGGTACCACGAGGTCAAAGGTCGCCGTAAAGTATCTGTTTTACGATGCAAATTATATTATAGCCTCTAGTATCGCGACATCTTCTTGATGATGATTATTGTAGAAACCCAAAGATGGTCAAAATGTTTATTTTCAATAAAAATAAAAATTTCGATCGAATAAACGTCACAAATAAATTTAGGGCGTGTTGGTTTTATTAATTATTATTCGAGTGTAATTTTTCGGACATACAAGTAGAATCGAAATCTGGCTGGACAACATTTATTCCTAAGGTGATTTCTGAGATTTAGACTGACCCTGTACATTTTTAATTAATTTGTAGTCTTTGTTGCTTTTTTTGATCGTTAATGCTTGTTTAATTCAATTATGATTATCCACTTGTAAATGTATGTATGTTACTTTGAACGTTAGAGTTGTTATGAGGATTCTATATTACAGGAATTAGTACTCTGAGTCCACCTTCTTCAAAATGTTCAAATATACTAATACACGTATATCCTGCATCGACTCCAGCTATGATAAAATTAATATTTTGTTATAACGTTGATGGATTTCTGTGAGCTATATAATTGATTAGAAAAAATTGACACCGAGATTTAACTGCAATTGGGATCGATTCGTTCCTAATTTCTGCTTCGTGCAATTTCAGAAACGTTTCGCGTTCAACTGTCTCACAGTAATGTTTCAGAAATGTTTCACCTAATGTTTCACAGCTCTGTTCAGAAAGTTGTTTACGCTGTGCTCTCATACGAGGATGAGACCTTTCGATGTTACGATACTTGCAAACTGTTGCATGCTACTTTTTGACTGTTCGAGAATCAGACATACGAACAGTATTTTCACGAAAGCGTTGGCGTTTCAGGGAAACGTCGCTAGGAAGGGAAGCAGCACGTGGCTTAACACTAAACCTACCGGCACTTCATGTATACCCATTCCTACCATGACCAGTCAGATGACCAGTCTTTCTTTTTCTCTTTCACGAGGCAACGTAATCTTAATTTTTGCATTATATGTATAGAAAGTTGTATTTTCATGTTTATAAGATATCCTTCTCTTTTATGTTAAAAATTTTTTTAATTGTCATCGGATAGAAGATAAAACGTCCTTGAAAACGAATTTTGTTCCAAGTCGATACTGTAGTTAGCCATTCAACTTTGTAGGCAAGAAAAATATGTTTCTTTGTGATTTTTTTTTCGGGCTATTAAAGAGCGATTAATTCTAAGTTTTGTGGATATATTTATTATATATTTAACTATATTTACGAACTTTTGCAACGCATAATATCTATTGATTACCCAGTTTTTGTTCATCAACGAACAACAATTTTTACGAATGGCGCCCAACTACGTAAGTGATATTTTGCGAACAAGTTATCCGAAGTCCAAAAACCAACGATATTCTTAATATAGATCAGTTACGTTATCGCATGAACTAGGATCTTTTCAAAAAAATGGAAAATGCCACAATGGCAGTTATTTTACGAAACGATACAGGAATATTTTCATATATTCGGTTGGTTTTTTTGTCAATAAAAGAAAAAGTATTGCATATATCGCAATTATCCTAGTTCATGCGATAGAGAGACCAGTTTTAAAGATACGGCATAAATTTCATGTTGGTATCTAGAATAGTTTTCGTGTTATTGTCTACGCAGTGCCAAAAAATGTAGTTTCGAGAAAAACAGCTTTAAAATTCCACGTCCACTTATACATGCGCGTGGTACATTTCAGCAGGCTATAACTTCTTTAGTTTTCTGAATTTCAATTTAATATTTGGTAGACATACTTTCGAGACTACATACTAAGTGAAAACGCAAAAGAAATTCGATCAGTAAGAATTACTGAAACTTCTTTGGGTATGTAGAGTCAAAGTAAATGTTAAAATAAACATAGAAGACAACATAAATAATAATAGTTGATATGGGCATCGGATAGGGGATGAAATGCCCTTTAAAACGAGCGTTCGAACTTGTCGATAGCTTTATTAGTTCCGGAGATATAGCGATTTTAATTTCGCGTCGATGCGGTGGCTAGTTTCGGAGATAGGGTTTGTTTACGTTTCGTTGTTGCGCTCGCGAGTCCATTGATCTCGCGCGCGCGTAGATAGTAAACAGTGCGTAGTAAACTCTTGGAAATACTACGCCGAAACTAGGTCACTCGGTCACGACTCACGTGCGACAAATAGCTACGACGCGACGCGTCAGACGGAGACAGAGATAGTAGAAATTAAAAACTTACCATTTTAAAGAAGAGGCTTTGCCGCTGTTAACGGTGGCTCGATCATAGAAAAAATATTAATAATTTCGAAGCTGCAGGTAATTAAAATTTTTAGTAATTTAATGCGCGATAGTAGCCTGCCGTAACGCGGAAAGCGCCATAAGAGATTTTTTTTAAATTAGCTATTTACATAAATTACGATATCTCGAAAACGGGAATTCGAATCGACAAAAACCAAAAGCCATTTTGAAGGGGAGGCTTTGTCGCTTCCAACAGTGACTCAATAATTAATAAAACACTAGTACTTTAGGAACTGCACCCATCTAAAGTTTTAGTATTTTTAATACACGTTGTTATACTGTTCTAAGATAGTGGAAACTGTAGATTCCTTTCGTCTTTGCTATACATATATTTCCTATTTACATCGGAAGTTAACTAGAATTTGGTGCCAAATTTTGTCTAGCTTTTTACAGAAAAATATAAATCATTGAACCGGTCAGATGACTGGTCGTGGTAGATAAGAGAGACTACATATTTTTCTCAGAAAACAAACAATAAGAATAGAAGTGAATATTTTAAAATTCATTGTACATTATACGTATCGTGAAGTTAAATGGCGCTAAAATAATATTGTGTGTTAGAATGTCTAAACGAAATTTTAAAAACGGTCATTTGACCGGTCGCGGTAGGTTTAGTATTAAATGCAGTTTTCCACGGCGCGTATTCTCACTGCCTGTGAAACGATTGAACTTTCAGGTCAATTTTCTGGAACCTTGAGAAACATAGGCTGTACCCGTTGGCTCGTAGACTCTCAGTTCATAACGGGAGATTTACGAGGAGGTTGCGCGGGCATCGAGGCAAGTCTTACGCGAACCGTGATGCATTTAAATAATCCGCGACGGAAAAACGCGGTTCAATAACGGCCGGCTCGTTATTCGTTTCGATTCGCGCAGTTACAGCTTTATCTTCCATTGGAAATGGTAGCGTTTACGCGCGAACCGTATAAGTCGCTCGCGAGATAATCTAGTATCGCAAGAAATATATTAAATTAACAAGCGTCTCTAACGAGCGTCCGTTCCACATTGGCTGGCGATGCATCGGATTCACGCTGCATCCATGGGATTAACGATCGAATATTTGCTGTTGGCGCGGTCTGGCAAAGTTACGAAACGAACGTGAGATTTGAACGCCAGGCGATGCTTAATAATAATATTCCCGTTAGTTCGTTAATTAATACTCCGCGTATGTTTTTCGCTTTCAGTGACACCGCCACTGCCGGCAATAGGAGAATCAGCGTGGGAGAGAGATCACGAGCGAGCTCGGGAAAGACACCGGGAACGAGAGCACGAGAGGGTGAACGAGAGGAGTACGGAAAACGAACGTAGGGAACGGCAGCAGGAAAGAGAATCAGGGATCAGGGAAAGGGAGCCACGGGATCGAGAAAAGGAACGAGATCGCGACAGGGAGAGACAGAGGGACAGAGAAAGGGACAGAGACGTGTCGGTCTGCATGATGGAACCGCTCGATCCTGTCTTTGTATCCTCCTCGGCGGCCCTCCTCGCGTTGCAGAGGATAAAGGAAACGTCACTGTGAGTACCTTTCTCGATTTTATCAAAATAACCAGCGATAATGCACGTTTAGTTTTTAAATGTTTATGACACTGCCTGGGAGACATTGGCAAATTTCAGGACAAAGATTTTTGAGTAGAGTAACTGTGCCAGTAGTCGGCCGTTTAAAGCATAGTGAAAATTCATTTTACGCGTTGTCTATACTATTGTCTATATGTTTTATACGCCATTCAATTCATTAAAGCCTGTGTTTTTTAAATATGTGATCGGCCTTTTAATATTATAGTAATTTGTAGCTGAAGTATCTTGAAATATGCAGAAATGTCATTTTCATCAATAGTCGGTCGAGAGTGCCCTATTTTCAGGTGTCAGTAGTCAGCTGTTATAAATAGTGTTAGTATGCAGGCAACAAAAAGTGATTAAATTATCACAAAAAGAAACGAATCCTTATTTCTTTGTTTCAACGTGCAAAAATTAGAACATAATAAATAATTTCACTGAAAAACAAAACATAAAATATTTTTTTTCGTAACAATACATAAAATTTATCTCATAAAGTTATTTAACTAAATTATCATTAAATTATCTAACAGTTAATATACTTACAATATGGAACATACATTGTTATTTATAATAGTTTCTTAAACAACTTAGTGTACAAAATACCTAAAAATAAATACACGAATAAGGGTAAAATCTAAACAAAAACAAAAATAACGGTCCTTTATAGTTAATTTTCTGTTACTTTTGTAATGTCAAATACTGTTACTAAGCAAATGTATATTTAAAATATTATCATACAAAAGCTTACTATTATTGAAAGTAAACGTATGATATCAAATAATTCGCGTTTCTTTTAAATCATTTGTTAACAATCAAATCAACATCACAGTAATGTTTTCCGAACACTCATAGCGTTGCATTCTTATCAATTGTTTTAGACGTTATGGCCGACAGAGCCGATTACTGACTTCATATCATTCTGAAAAATATCTAATAGTCAGCCGGGGGGCCGATTATTGGTTTCTCTTGTATTCGTAATACCAATAGTCAGCCCCAACGAAAACAATTTATTCAAGTATTGCTAATTACGTACTCAAGATATTAAAAAACAAGATTTACGATTATTGATGATATACAGGGTGTTCGGCCACCCCAGGGAAAAATTTTGATGGGAGATTCTAGAGATCAAAATAAGAGAAAAATCAAGAATACTAATTTGTTGATGGAGGCTTCGTTAAAAAGTTATTAAAAAATTAAATTAAAAAATTTGAAACCATACTAAAAAAATTATATTTAGTTACAGGGGCCAATTACAAGCATTTTTGGTGAATAGACATACCCCGAAATCCTACGTATTTTCGAGAAAAAAATTCTTTACCGAAAATCTAATGTGAGACCAGAAATGGTTCCCTGAAATTTCATGCGAATCTTTAAAATGTCATAACTCCTGAACGAATTGGAGGATTTAAATTTTTCAAAATGCAAACAACGCGTATTTTAATGGAGAATATGTGGAAATGTTAGCAATATTGAAAAAGTAATTTCTTGACATCGTAAAGTTAGAAATACCCCATAAAAATAGTCCAATTTTCAAACAGCCATAACTCCTGCAATAGTGAATATATTTCAATGATACTTTTTTTCTGAGGTAGTGCTCATGGGTACCTATAAAAAAGTGTTAGACAACTTTTCTGTAGGGTGTTAATCAAAATTAGTAAAAATGAAGAACGAATTTTTAAGAAAAATCGGCAGGGTGTAGGTACCTCAATTTGTTGACGAAAAACAAAATTTCAAATAGTTCCGGAAAAATTATTTTGGGTTGCGGGGGTCAATTACAATCATTTTGTGTGTGTGTGTGTGTGTGTGTGTGTGTGAGAAAACAAGAGAGCGGGAAGCGGAGATGCGCAAACGGAGTGGCGCAGTGGGTGTGTGCTAGACGGTCAAGCGAGTGAGGCGTGTGTATAAATGAGGAAGAGTTAATGTATTGTTTTATAAATACAATTAAAGATACTTCTATTATTCAGTACGTGGCACGCTACAGAGAGAACTATTTTCCAACCCAATCCAACAATTTTTAGTGAATAAACATAGCCCCGAAATTCTGCGTATTTTCGAAAAAAAAATTCAGTACGGGCGGAACTTTAAACGTTAATAACTTTTTAACGAAGCCTTCATGAACAAATTAGTATTCTTGGTTTTCATCTTATTTTGGCCTCTAGAATTTCCCATTAAAATTTTTCCCAGGAGTGGCCAAACACCCTACATGCTATTTTTAATTGTTACGTGAAGTACATACTACCAAACTGTTCACCAGTTGTCTGTCATAGATTCAATGGTCTTCAGAGTGAAACTTATTGCTCTGTACACTATTGCCTCCAAAGATATGAAACTGAACATTGGAAATAGAAGTATAGGTTCACTGCTGACGGATTCCTAAACGTGATTTTACTATTCTTTCGTATTCCTAAATAATTTTTTATCAAAGAGGCTGACTGCTAGAACAGTTACTCTACTCTGAAAAGCGTTGTGATATATTTAAACAACTTATCTTTTTTTCTCATATATTTGTAAAATTCGGTGACAAAGTTCACGACACGATGAACCAATATTTATAATTTAAGTATCTTTATTTACTGTTTCTCTTCTTCGACTGTGAATATTTAAGTACATAATTTTACTCGGGTGTTTCCCAAAAATCTTCTGGAGGATCTAGAACTTTAGCTGGCCGAAATTCACCAGTTTCAGGGTCGCGCTGTTGACAGGCCATGAGAGTGCACCCTACGACTTGTGTTGTAGTGCAAAAACACGTGTTGCAGCCATCATTATAGGTTTTCCCCGGCACACATTTTCTTTCTTCAGTTTAATAAATAATAAATTAAAAATTAGTAATAGTCATTGATGTCGATCTTCTTGAAAAAATGCACAAAACTTCGACAATCAATGACGAAATAGTACTTCGAGTTCTCGATAAATAACTCACCAGATTCTTGGCCAAATGTAACCGAGCTTACGATAACGATCAACAAACAAACAATGAAAAATTTAGACGACATATTGACGTGTCTCTTCACTGCCAGAACGATCGAACGACTGACTTTATACAGATTGTCCAGTCATATTTTTATCGTTAGTGCATTGATAATCTTTCATTCTTGTGCCAAAACAGATAGTCAATATAAGCATTTGCATATGTTGATCCAATAATGTTGCGTAAATACATTGCGACATGTTTCTCAGAATATTTATCTCCTTATGCAGATAAATATTATATCTCGAAACATGCAAAGTATAGTATACAAAATAAATACAAAATGTATACACCAAAATTGATTTATTGTAGTTTAAAGCACAATAAGTTAGAATAGTTTTCCCCAAATTTTCATATAGAAATAAAAAAGTTATTTTCATTAATATATTATATTTATTATACTCTATAGCAATTTTCTTATATACTTCTGTATCTAAATTTTCTAAGGAATTAAATGTGAATACATAAACAACCATATTTTTATTACTTTTATTAAATAACGAAAAGATTTTAATTATAGAAGAAAATATTTCACAACGAACGGATATACAATATATAAATGTCTTATTTAATAAAGATCACGAATAAATTGCTATACATTGATTTTATCGATTATTTATTGTTTTCTGCAGTCATGTAGTGTAAGACTTTTTACTGCAACGACGCTAATTTCATCCATTGTGGTACTTTCCATCCGGAATGCATTTGTCTGTTTTGATATAATAAAATTACGAGTGTAAAAAGGAAACGTTAAATATAAGATAACAACTGGAATTATCGTCATAATAATTTCCTGATGAATGTCAAAGTCTTAGCTAAGAGAACTAACATGTACGCTTCATTATTATTACTCAATTGATAACCTTACATGCTTATCTTTAAACACTTTTTAAACAAAGCTGTGTCGCGTACTTCTATACGAGTCTAACCTTGCACCTTGACTTGTTAAGAAAATAACATACGTCTGTTGAATATTTATTTATATTCTAAAGTAATGTTTCAAGATAAAAACTATTACGGTATAATAATAAATATCACTATATATACAATATAAGTTTAAAAACTACAACATCCTGGAAATATTTCAGATGTATTTACTAATCGAAAATAGGTAACAAGATTTTCACCGCGCATAAAAACTTTGTAACGCAAATTATCATACATATTTGCAACAAAAATGGAACGAAAAATATCCTTGAAGGGTTCCAAAGGGTCAAATTATTTGTATAAATCGATCATACAGGGTGTTCACAGGTTGAATGCTGAAACTTGAGATAGAAATGTCGAATCATAAAACAAACAAATGTTTTCTCTGGGAGTATATTCGCAAACACGATTTTTTTCACCGATAAACAAGATATACGTAGATTATTTCGTTCCTATATTTGTATAACTTTATAAGTAAACATATTTTGAAGGAAGAGTTCACGAGTATACTTCGAAAGGAAAAATTTGTTAATTTTACGACTCTACATTCGTATCTTAAGTTTAAGCATTTAACACCCTGTATATAATAAAATGTACACGAGAATACAATGACAAACATTTTTCCTATGACTTTTTCATAATATGGAAATAAATATGTCAGCCAGGGATTCATCTTCCTTTCTCCCTACAATGTACGAGGACTGACTTTATTATCAGTTTACTATCGGTCGAAAACAGCTGGACGCCGCGCTACTCGCTTATGGGGTCGATGGTTACGTAGTGCCATATTTCATCGAAAGTATAAGCACATCCAGAACTTAATAGGACGAGATCGTGCACCCGCTGTAAATCTCGTTTAATTTGCTCTCGTACGCTCACGAATATCTTTTCCATTGTCGACAGCGCGACACCTAGCGAATGTTTTTTATCAGAGCTTACTCACACTTCTTATACAGGATCATACAGGTTCACATAATTATCATATATACAATAGATTTTATAATTCATAAATTACAGATTTTGAAAATATATTTAACAGATACATATGATCTTTGTATGTCGC